AATATGAAGAATATCATGTTTAGAAAAAACATCTAGGTGGCTGGGCGCAGTAGCTCATGCCTGTAATCCCAACTACTCGAGAGGCTGAGGCAGGAGAACTGCTTGAACTTGGGAGGCAGAGGTTGCAGTGAGAATCACGCCACTGCAGTCCACCCTGGGCGACACAGCAAGACTCAGTCTCAAAGAAAAAACAAAAAAACAAAAAAAAGGAGGCTGGGCGCAGTGGCTCATGCCTGTAATCCCAGCATTTTGGGAGGCCAAGGTGGGCAGATCACCTGAGGTTGACTAACATGGAGAAACCCCGTCTCTACTAAAAATACAAAATCAGCCGGGCAAGGTGGCGCATGCCTGTAATCCCAGCTACTTGAGAGGCTGAAGCAGAATCATCACTTGAACCCAGGAGGCGGAGGTTGTGGTGAGCCGAAATTGTGCCACTGCACTCCATCCTGGGCAAAATGCGTGAAGTTCTGTCACAAAAAAAAACCAAAAAATAAAAGAACCTCTATTTGTCTCCATGCTTAAATATTTGTGAGCAGGGCAAAGGCCATGCAGAGAGTGTTCACACCCAGGCCAAAGCCCTGCTTTGCCTTCACTGCAGTGCATGGCCATCCCTTTGGTAAAGGATGCGACGTCTTCCCATAACTGGCTCCCCTTTCTCATAATATGTCTTAGAATTATTAACATGGTTGAATTTAGGTCTACCATTTGTTTCCCATTTGTCCCACTTTTGTTCCCCTGTTTCTCTTTTCTTGCCTTCTTTTGGAGTATTTATTTGATTACTTTTTGTTTGTTTGTTTGAGACAGAGTCTTACTCTGTCACCCAGGCTAGAGTGCAATAGTGTGATCTCGGCTCACTGCAACCTCCACTTCCCAGGTTCCAACAATTTTCCTGCCTCAGTCTCCCAAGTAGCTGGGTTTATAGGCTCCCACCACCATGCCAGCTAATTTCTGTATTTTTGGTAGAGACGAAGTTTCACTTGGTCAGACTGTTCAGACGTCTTGAACTCCTGACCTTAAGTGATCCACCCACCTCAACCTCCCAAAGTGCTGGGATTACAGGCAGGAGCCTCGTCACTCAGCTAAATGTTCTAATAAATACCCACATACCCACTATTTTGCCACTGCAGTTTTTGTTCATCATTATCTGTCATTTTTCTTAATGTTGGTAAAGCTCTAGTTCATTCCCGCTATTGGATGTATACTGTTCTGTTGTATGATTACATCAGACTTTGTTTTGTTTTGTTTTGTTTTTTTTTTTTTGTTTTGAGACAGAGTCTGGCTCTGTCGCCCACGCTGGAGCACAGTGGCATGGTCTTGGCTCACTGCTACCTCCACTTCCCGGGTTCAAGAAATTCTCCTGCTTTACCCTCCCAAGTAGCTGGGGTTACAGGTGCCTGCCACCACACCGGCCAATTTTTGTATGTATATATGTATGTATTTATTTATTTATATTCTTTTTGAGACGGAGTCGCACTCTGTCACCCAGGCTAGAGTGCAGTGGCCAGATCTCAGCTCACTGCAAGCTCCACCTTCAGGGTTCACGCCATTCTCCTGCCCCAGCATCCCGAGTAGCTGGGACTACAGGCGCCCGCCACCACGCCTGGCTAATTTCTTTTTGTATTTTTAGTAGAGACGGAGTTTCACCGTGTTAGCCAGGATGGTGTCGATCTCCTGACCTCGTGATCCGCCTGCCTCGGCCTCCCAAAGTGCTGGGATTACAGGCATGAGTCACCACGCCTGGCCAACCCTATTTATTTTTAAGACGAAATTTTGCTCTTGTTGCTCAGGCTGGAGTGCAATGTCACAATCTCGGCTCACTGCAACCTCCTCCTCCTGGGTTCCAGCGATTCTTCTGCCTCAGCCTCCCAAGTAGCTAGGATTACAGGTGCTTGCCACCATGCCTGGCTAATTTTTGTGTTTTTAATAGATACAGACTTTCACCATGTTGGCCAAGCTGGTCTCAAACTCCTGACCTCGGCTTACCAAAGTGTTGGGATTACAGGTGTGAGCCACCTGGCCTGGCCACTACATGAGACTATTTACCCTTCCACCTGCTGTTGGATACTTAGATGGTTTTGTGCATTGCCAGTACTTGGATACTTGTATGCACCCGTGTTCTTCTAAGGGGGATGCCCACAAAAGCTATTGCTTGCCACAAGGTATATGCATTCTCATCTTGACACCATGTCTGAGTCTGTTTTGTCTTGCTTTGACAGAACTGCACATACTAGGAAATGTGTAATGAACAGAAATCTGGTTGGGCACACTGACTCACATCTGTAATCCCAGCCCTTTGAGAGGCCAAGATAGGTGGATCACTTGAGATCAGTAGTTCAAGACCAGCTTGGCCAACATGGTGAAACCCCATCTCTACAAAAAATCAGCCTGGCATGATGGGGCACGCTTGTAATCCCAGCTACTAGAGAGGCTGAGGCAGGAGAATCGCTTGAACCCAGGATGCAGAGGAGGCAGTGAACTGAGATTGTGCCACTGCACTCCAGCTTGAGAGACAGAGTGAAATTCTGTAGGAGACAGAGCGAGACTCCCTCTCAAAAAAAGAAAAAAAAAGAAATCTATTGGCTCACAAATCTGAAGGTTGAGAAGTCCCAGATGGTGGGGCCGGTATTTGGTGAGGGCCTTCTGACTTCGTGGTAACATGGAGGAAGGCATCTCATCTGAGAGACAGAGGGGTGAACTCGTTCTTTAATAAGGAACCCATTCCTGTGAAAACTCACTTCCGTGGTCATGGCATTAGTGCATTTCTGAGAGCAGAGCCCTGGTGACCTAATTACCTCTTGAATGTCTCACTTCTAAAATCTGTAGCACTGCGGATTAAATTTCCAACCCAAGAACTTCGGGGAACTCATTCATATCACAGCACACGGTTTTATCAAATACCTTTCCAAAGCGATTGTTCCCAGTTACCACACCCTGGCCATCCAGATGGGCCATTTCCCCTAGCGTCCCTTTAGCAGCAAGGATAGTTGGGAAGGGGTGGATCTGGGACTGACCCTGTGTCTGTAAATATTATATAATTATATACCCTGCTTTAGAGTCCCCCTTTGTTGCCCTGGAATGCAGTGGTATGATCATAACTCACTATAGCCTCCAACTCCTGGGCTCAAGCTATGATCCTCCTGCCTCAGCCCCCTGAGTAGTGGGTACTATAGGCTTGTGCCACTATGCCCAGCGAATTAAAAAAAGTATTTGTGTGTGTGTGGAGATGAAGTCTTGCTATGTTTTCAGGCTGTTCTTGAACTCTGCAAGTGATCCTCCCACCTCAGCCTCCCAAAGTGCTGGGATTACAGGTGTGAGCCACCACACCTGGCCTATACCTTGCTTCTCTTTCTTTCTTTTCTTTCTTTCTTTTCTTTCTTTCTTTTTTTTTTTTTTTTCTTTTTTTTTTCTGGAGACAGAGTCTCCCTCTGTCACCCAGGCTGGAAGTACAGTGGCATAATCTTGGCTCACTTGCAACCTCCACTTCCTGAGTTCAAGGGATTCTGCTGTCTCAGCCTCTTGAGTAGCTGGGATTACAGGCGTGCACTGCCACGCCTGGCTAATTTTTGTATTTTTAGTAGAGACGAGGTTTCACCATGTTGGCCAGGCTGGTCTAGAACTCCTGATCTTCGCCCACCTTGGCCTCCCAAAGTGTTGGGATTATGCCCCCCCTCCCTCCCTCTCT